TCAAGCAAAGATCAATGATCAATAACTTTAGCAAGTAAATCACTATTAACTATTCTTAGCAAAAATGAAATAAAGTCAATAAACAAATCATACAAAAGATACAACAATCCAGCAAGCATGTGTGTGTGTGTGTGTGTGTGTGTAGGTGTGTGTGTGAGTGAGAGACAAAGGAGGGGGAGAGACTGAGAGAGGGGTGGATCCGACCATGTGGGTGGTCGCAGATCCGGTTCAAAATGGGCTTGAGGCCAGCTGATTTTGGAATCAAGATGGCAGTTCAAACCATGTGATTTCAGGATCAAGGTGGCGGAAAATCTCTCCCCTGAACTACAAAAATTGGAGACACACTCTGATGCTAGCCTGCTGTGGGTCACAGGTCTGGTTAGCTTCAGAGATCACGTGGTGTGTGTATGTAGGGTTAGTAAGCAGAAGGAGGAGAGAAAGGCACAGGGAAAAGCTATATACAGGTGCTGGTCATATAATTAGAATATCATCAAAAAGTTGATTTATTTCAGTAATTCCATTCAAAAAGTGAAACTTGTATAATTTATACATTCATTCCACACAGACTGATATATTTCAAGTGTTCATTCCTTTTAATTTTGATGATTATAACTGACAACTAATGAAAACCCCAAAATCAGTATCTCAGAAAATTAGAATATTGTGAAAAGGTTCAATATTGAAGACACCTGGTGCCACACACTAATCAGCTAATTAACTCAAAACACCTGCAAAGGCCTTTAAATGGTCTCTCAGTCCAGTTCTGTAGGCTACACAATCATGGGGAAGACTGCTGACTTGACAGCTGTCCAAAAGACGACCATTGACACCTTGCACAAGGAGGGCAAGACACAAAAGGTCATTGCTAAAGAGGCTGGCTGTTCACAGAGCTCTGTGTCCAAGCACATTAATAGAGAGGCGAAGGGAAGGAAAAGATGTGGTAGAAAAAAGTGTACAAGCAATAGGGATAACCGCACCCTGGAGAGGATTGTGAAACAAAACCCATTCAAAAATGTGGGGGAGATTCACAAAGATTGGACTGCAGCTGGAGTCAGTGCTTCAAGAACCACCACGCACAGACGGCCACAGCAATACGTGGGTTTCAGCTGTCGCATTCCTTGTGTCAAGCCACTCTTGAACAAGACACAACGTCAGAAGCATCTCGCCTGGGCTAAAGACAAAAAGGACTGGACTGCTGCTGAGTGGTCCAAAGTTATGTTCTCTGATGAAAGTAAATTTTGCATTTCCTTTGGAAATCAAGGTTCCAGAGTCTGGAGAAAGAGAGGAGAGGCACAGAATCCACGTTGCTTGAAGTCCAGTGTAAAGTTTCCACAGTCAGTGATGGTTTGGGGTGCCATGTCATCTGCTGGTGTTGGTCCACTGTGTTTTCTGAGGTCCAAGGCCAACGCAGCCATCTACCAGGAAGTTTTAGAGCACTTCATGCTTGCTGCTGCTGACCAACTTTATGGAGATGCAGATTTCATTTTCCAACAGGACTTGGCACCTGCACACAGTGCCAAAGCTACCAGTACCTGGTTTAAGGACCATGGTATCCCTGTTCTTAATTGGCCAGCAAATTTGCCTGACCTTAACCCTATAGAAAATCTATGGGGTATTGTGAAGAGGAAGATGCGATACGCCAGACCCAACAATGCAGAAGAGCTGAAGGCCACTATCAGAGCAACCTGGGCTTTCATAACACCTGAGCAGTGCCACAGACTGATCGACTCCATGCCACGCCGCATTGCTGCAGTAATTCAGGCAAAAGGGGCCCCAACTAAGTATTGAGTGCTCATACTTTTCAGTTGGCCAACATTTCTAAAAATCCCTTTTTTGTATTGGTCTTCAGTAATTTTACAATTTTCAGAGATACTGATTTTGGGATTTTCATTAGTTGTCAGTTTTAATCACAATTAAATGAAATAAACATTTGAAATATATTAGTCTGTGTGTAATAAATGAATATAACATCCAAGTTTCACTGTTTGAATGGAATTAATGAAATAAATCAACTTTTTGATGATATTCTAATTATATGACCAGTACCTGTATATACAATATACCACAGTCTATCCTGCAGCCACCAGCAGTGAATGATTCATTCAGCAGCAGTTGCTGACTTTGGATTAGACAACAACAACAGAAACAAACACCAAGAATCCTAATTACTGTTGTAAAGACTCAGCTACAACTTTATCAATGAGAGGGGACGGTAGTGAACTTGCATTCAGCAACTGTGTTGGCTTGGCTTGATAAAAATACTGATACGTTTCCACACAGTAATAGGAACAAAACAGTCAGGCCTAGCGGGTGGTGCCGGACACAAACAATGTGCGTAGCACGGAAAACACACAGCAATAAAACAAGACACGGCGGTCTTTAAATATCCCTTGGAGTTTCTTAACAGAAGTTCACCACATGAAGCTTCTACAAGTAAGTTACAGTAACAAAGTTGAGAACTATCTGCTGCCCAGACATACTAAAGCCTCTTATGTGTCGCTTTGGTAGCTAGTAGATGCGTCAGAAAAACTCAGCTGGATTTCTTGAAAAGACTCTCGGCTCGGTTCTGACAATGCCAGTAGTTTCAACGGCACTGCTGATTCTTCGGCAGCAGCAACAGGAATCAGTGAAGTCGACGTTGGTTGAGAAGGTAGAACACAGAGGTCATCTTCTCTCAGTTAAGAGTTTATCCGTCTTCTTCTGCAGGCATGAAATGTTATCTTGTGTATAACAGTTTCCTTAGTGATCCAAAATTGTGTTGGTAACGCAAACAAAAAAATAATAGAGGTAGAAAAAAGAAGAAAACAGAGTACCTCGTCCAGTGAGTAAAGTCTGTATTCAGGAACAAAGAAAGTTCAGCGCTGAGAAAGTTGTGTCTCCTATCACCGCTCGCGCAGTTGTGGAAAAGACAATGTGCTGTCTGTGCTCAGGTCTACTTATACCTGAGGGGGGCGCACCGGCTGCGTTACCGGGGGGACCTGCAAGATTACAAGCGCAGCCAATAGTGGCTAAGCTTCTAAGTCTGAGTCACTATTTCGCACCTAGGTGTGAAACGGGCTTTGGCGCCTGTTTTACAGTCCTTTGTTTGAAATAACTCCAATTCAGGCTTTGTGGAATTCAACAGGCCAGGGTCAGGCCTGTAGGATGTCACAAGGCCCATTCTGTGTTCTACCAGACTGCAAGGCCCAACAGGGGGTTAGGGGAAGCGGCCAACCCAATATCCACACAGAAATACAGACAGTGAAGGTAATGTTGGTACACACTGAATGAATAATGGTGCAGATTTATAGTAATGTTTATGATAATAATCGTAATGTTAATTATAATAACAATAGGACTAGTAACAATAATTTTAGCAGAGGGTGTCGAGCAGGAACATGGGGGCAGCAGGTGACCCACAACCACAGATCTAGACTCCAGAGCCAGAGCTCTAAGCTCTAAGCTTTATTAAAGCTTATAGCTTATAGCATGTGGGATCCCACAAGGGTCATCACTAGGACCATTGCTTTTCTCTATCTTTACGAATGATCTCCCACTGGTCTGTAAAAGAGCATCTGTGTCTATGTATGCGAATAATATTTATATGCCTGCACCAGCTTTAGAAAAAAATCACTGCAACTCTCAACAACGATTTGCAGATGGTATTTAACTGGATTACTGATAATAAACTTGTCCTGAATATAGCCAAGACCATTTGGAACTGAACATTCATTAAAAATAAGGTCCATGTTGGATTTAGTACTAAACAATGTTGCTGTTGAGCAGGTACAGGAAACAAAGCTTTTTGGGGTAACCTTAGACTATAATTTGTCGTGGTCAAGACATATAGATGAAGTGGTGAAAAAGATGGGGAGAAATATATCTGTAGTTAAAAGGTGTTCTTCGTTTTTAACCCCATATCTAACTAAACATGTTTTGCAGACCCTAGTTTTATCACAGATTATTGCTCTGTGGTTTGGTCAGGAACTACAAAGATGAACTTAGGGAATCCACAAAGGGTTCAGAATAGAGCTGCTCGTTTAGCCCTTGGTTGTCCAATAAGGGCTAATGTTAACAAAATGCACTGTAAACTCTTCTGGTTAAAGATTGATGAGAGGTTAAAAGTATCACTTATTGGCTTTATAAACAAAATTAATGTATGGAAAACTCCTGACTGTCTGTATAGGCAACTTACTCTGAGTTCTAATGTACATATATTAGAAATCATGCCATAATTGGTAGATATATTATTCCAAAATCCAAAACAAACTCAAAACAAAGCACAGTGCTGTATAGAGCTTTGGTTGAATGGAACTCTCTTCCAGGTCATCTTGTTAAAACTCAAAATAATATTGGTTTTAAAAAACAAGTAAAGGAATATTTCATGTCTGCTTATATTAGTAAATAGAGCCTCTCATACATTCTTTTATCTTTGTATTCCTTGAAAATTTGCTGTTTTTGTTGTTTTATTATGTTGGATATTTGTTCTGTCTACTGGTTATGTTTTTCTTGTAATTTCTTAATCTGTGTATTGATTGTGTAGTGTGTATTTATTCTTGTTATGTGTTTTGTGTGGACCCCAAGAAAAGTAGCGGATGCATTTCTTTGCATCAGCTAATGGGGATCCTTATAAATCAAATCAAATCAAATCAAAGAGGAAAGTCTTAAGCCTATTCTTAAATGTGGAGACGGTGTCTGCCTCCGGAACCCAAACTGGAACCTGGTGTACAATGATACAGCTAAAAAAGTGCAGTGATTTGACCGACAAAATGCCAGTGTTCACCCTCTTCTCTGTCATGCATCCAACAGCAGCCAAGTCATCAGACATTGTTTTCTTGAACATTCTTCTGTAGTTTCACTAGTTAATTAGCTGTATATGTTATTACCATAAATGCCTTCCAACCTGCTCTTGTTTCAGTTGTTATTTTGGAATGTAAATCATTATATCCTAATCATACAGTAACATGTTGTTCACGTGTTCTTTTCCTGTCTTGCTGTGTGTTGTTGTGTGTTACCACCAGGCCATGGGACATCTTTCAGGGTTGACTGCCACACTTGTTCCTGCTTCGCTGGTGACACCGTTTGCTCCACAAGACAATGTCTCGGCTTCGACAGCTCCGATGAGGACCGCCGACACTTTACCGGTCCGTCTGTGTGTTTGTTTGTTACATGCCATATCTGCATCTGTCTTTTAACACTGTAATGGTTTGAACAGGTTTTTCCATTTCAGATAAGGTTGGTTAACCACTTAAAGGGTCTAGGAAATGGAGGGTTGCTTTGTCCCTGAACAAGAGCCCAAATGGAGAAACAGCGCTACAGAGTGCGGTTCGTCAGTGCGTTCTTCTTCGTCTTCTTCTTGTAGAATTCTGGTAGTGTAGACACTCGTCACTATGTTGAATGAAGAAGTACTAAAAACAGCAGGGGTCCGCAAATAAGTTTTGCATCAGAGCATTTTTTTCAACCATTAAGCCCCGAATATACTCTGGTGCGGACGCGGACAGCTGCGGACCCCGTGGACTACTTCTTTTTATACTACCTTCTGCTGTCAGCTTGGCGGACACGTTCCACACATGCGCAGTAGATCGGTTGTTGCCCTGGTAGTGCTATTCGTGCCTAGTCGAACCCTATGCTCTGATGACGATTTTTTCATCGTGCGGTCCCTCGCGGATGCGGAAAGTATAATCCTTGCCTTAGATGGTGGATGAGAATATAAGATATAACTTTTAAGCTTTATGTTACAGTGTTCTGTTAGTTTAGTTGGTAAAGTGCAGGACTCTCATCTCGAAGGTTATGTGTTCGATCCCACGTCAGGTGAAATTTTTTTTCCCCTCTTCAACAAATTGATTATAGCCACGTTTCGATCAAACCTTTAAGTCCCTGGATCTCTTTTCAAGGAACTAAAATGTTCCTTCAGCACACTGTTGTGTGCGTTTCCATCATGGTCTAAAGACCTGTGAAAATTAGGCAAATTAACCAGCTGACGTAGGCTGTCGGCCTGCACGCCATACAAAGCGTTGCATGGGCATCATTATTTGTAACCACTATCCAATTTCATTTCCCCAGTATCTCCCGGCAGAGGGAATCACGTTTTCTGACAGCTCTTTCAGAGGTGTGTCAAGCAGACTACAGACTATTTTTAAAAGTAAAAGCTCTCAATTAAACTGGAAATAAAGCATTGCTGCATGAATCGTTCTCATGCTTTTAATTTGCAGTCAAAATCACTAAAGTGATTATGTGAGTAACTGTTGCTGCCATGACCTATTTCAGCACTATCAAAGTATTTATCAGTTTAAATTATTAGCAGCTGTCAAAGCACCATAATCTGGCTGCGGGCCAGATATTATTGCCGGCGGGCAGTTTTGGCGAGGGTCCATAATCATAGAGAGAATGAATATGATTCCCTTGTCAGTGTTTGTATAAACTTTTTCTATTATGTGGTTCATAATGGAATGTGGTGCACAAACAGAGACATTACACACTCTTACATTTTCCATGCTATGTTAGTTTTACTGAATAACTGAATACCTCAAGAAACCTAATTTCTTGACTGGCTACTCTCTGAGTAGCTATCTTACCCTCTTTGAAGGTGGGGGGGGTTATAGACTAGACAGTTGGTTGCAATTTACAACCTCACCGCTAGATGCCACTAAATCGTACTTAACCTTTAAACAAATGTAAATACTGGAAGTAGCAATTTCATTTGCGTATCTGTCTCTTTATATTTTTTGTTTTAAGATGCTGTTGTGCTTCATTAAGGTGTCGTGTTTAATCTCCACAGTGCCAGTTGCCTCAGCAAACACGGTTTCCCCACATGTTGTGGACCACAATCTAATGCAGCAGATGCAGCTCATGGTGTTGGTGTTTTTGCTAAATCTATTCCATGTAAACTCCCTCAGCCAAGGGCTGACTGGCACAATAATTCAGGCCAGGAATTTAACTCCATCCCAGGCTAACCTGTTCATGGAAACCACCAGACTGCTAATGTTGTAAACTAACCCTATTTGGTGATTTATACCACACTAGGTATAGATTTGGCCACTATGTTCAACTGGGAAAAAAGGTATCTACATTACAAAATACAAACATTTAGGACTGACAATTAATGCAGCCTATATAAAGAGAGTTTTCAGGGTGGCTATGGGTGCACCCTCCGCAAATTCCTGAGAAATAGCCTAAACCAATCACAGCACATACGTACATGGCTAGACACTAAAATAATTAGCCTACACATAGATAATGAGATATAGAAGACTTTGCTTAAATGTTCAAATCATTATCTTCATATTCAAGCATCAATCATATGAAAAGTATCAAAAAACATCACACACACACCTTCACTGAACTTGAACATAAGCTAAAACAATGAGAGCAGGCTAAGTAACATTAGTCCTATAATGAAAAAGTCCAAAAAGCACATATAGCCTACAAACAAATTATTGATTACATTGCTCACTCGCTGGTGTCCATAAAGCAAACAACACAAAAATAAACACATCCATCTTTTAATAATTTCTACTAGAGGATAATAAAGGACAGTGCCGACCCAGCCACAGCCTGTTCACCCTGCTGCCTTCTGGGAAGAGATATATAAGTTTCAGCTGCCACCCCACCAGACTGCAGAGCAGCTTTTTCCCCCAAGCTAAGACTTTTAAGCTCAAATTCATCCTCAGCACTGCTCCAGTGATTATAGTTTATTTCTGTTTTTCATAATTGCTTCTACATAAATGTATAGTGTCTGCTATGTAGCAGAAGGGAGTTATATTGTGACAAAATAAGTCTACCTAGCTAGATATAATATATATCTAGCAAACAACACAAAAATAAACACACTCAACTGAATGTGTATATTTTTGTGTAGGTTTGCTTTATGATATTTGAATGTTTTTCTAGTCTATAAAGAAACTATATTTGTGCCGGGAGAGATTCTGCAGCACACAGAAGCCATTGTCATGGTTACCCGTCTGCAGAGGCCTTGAGACACACACAAACGCTACAAAATGTGGCCAGCTGCATGGAAGCTTTTAATACCGATTTATTACTGATTAACAGTCACTAATATATTTGGCAGAAAAAGAGAGAGAGAGAGAGAGATGCGAACACGGTGGATTCTCCTGCTTGCTATATTAAAAAAAAACCTTGCTATATTATTGCTGCCGCTGGTCAAGTTGACAATTAATGCCTGGCCAAAACAGCCCTCAGGCCGCCAGGAAATCTCCCAGTGCAGACCCGCTCCCCCCTCGTTTTCCAATATGAAATAAATTTTAAAAAATGTTGTTCCATCTGACTAGTGCAGTGCCCGTTCACAGGGGCCGATGTGACACCTTCATGCACTTTTTGTTCAAAATGTGTGGCTCACTTTGGTTTCACCTACAGCAGTGGTCAGCAAGAGGCAGTACACTGGCCAAGTAGATAAATAGACTAATAATACTTTGATAGCGGCTGGTGCTCTGCTCTACTGCATTTATTAATTCTGAACGTGTTGCGTGATTAAATTGCACTAAACACAACACTGCAATCCCTTGGGTCCGCAGCAACACACCCACCATGTTTGACGTCGATTGGATGAATGGACATAATTGAAATACAAACACACACACACACAGATTTCCGTCTTTATTAGAGAGATAGCAACACTAAAGATAGCATCCACATCCATAGCACTGTTAAGTTAGCTAACCAAAATGCCAGTGTGCTGCCTGCATGTTATCCTAATTTGTCTCAGCTGTTTAGTTGCTGCTTCTGGTCTAATTATAATTTTAAGTGGATTGTAGATAAACTTAGTCCATAAATCTGTGTCTTTCGAGAACCAGTAACATCAGACAACATTACTGACAGACAGAACGTTTCAGAATGCAGAATGCTTCTCATTAACAGCAGTGCAACAGATCAAGCAGCTGAATCAACTTTCGAACAAGATATATTTTGGGAGGCAGATACATGCAGGTTGTTGAATAAGACACTGCAAAAAAAGTTTGCTCATAGCTCTAGTCATTTGTTCAGTTATGATAAGATTTTTTGGTGAAGACTCTGTTGTAACCAATAGGATCAATGGCCAGAATTCATTCCATCACAGCTGATACCATGAATACTTTCCTCCCTCATACTAGTTGTCATCTCCCCCTGTTCGTCTCCAGGTCTTCCCTGTAGCTGTCCGGACCGCTTCGTCCCAGTGTGTGCCTCTAATGGGCGGACCTATCCCAGTGCCTGTGTGGCTCGCTGTATGGGATTCAAGGACCATCAGTTTGTCTTCGGCCTGTGCCGCCTCAGTAACCCCTGCACCAACAAACCCTGCCAGAGAAACCAGAGGTAAGTTCAGCTGTAAAGTCAGTGTAGCTGCTGGTAACAACGAGCACCAACTCATTAAGAGCAAGGAAAAACTCATTACAACATTTTCCCTCCCTTTCTTATTTACTCTTTCTCCCTCCTTCTGACTGACAGCCAAGTTGTTGTTTCATGTGGCTATGGTTGTGATAAGAGGGGTTAACAGGCCACGAGAATAATCATCATTCCCTGTACTCCTCCCATAAGCTTTGACCCCTCACCCATGGTCTAAATACTGTTTCAGTGGCTTTTCCACCCTGATTGGAATGTTTGTCTGAGGGAACTTAATCATTACTTATTGTTATAAAGGAATGATGAATGAAAACATCCTGTCATTTATGTTTCACATTAAAAGCTTTCCAGCACCTCAAGGGTATGGTGGTCTAGTAAGAGTACCCTGTGTACCGTGAGTATTCTTGTATTTTGTATCCTTTACATACATGGTTAATGCATTCCTTTCCTTGTAACATTTGCAAAGCACACGTTTTAAATAATTTGAAACATGCATTGTTTGCATTCATGTGTGCTAGCTTACATTCTCCCTCACCTTTGTTGGCGTATTGCCGTGTTTTTTTAATTGGAATAATTTAAAGAATGAAAATAGAATTACAAGTTAAAAAGACAACGTGAAAGCAGCAGCATGAGATTACCCTGTGGTGCTGATTCATTTTTCCACTAAGTGATGTAGTCTGGAAGACATTTATCTGACACACACGCGAGCAGACACAAGCAGATTTACCACCTTCACCCACACCCTATGATGACGTCTGTTATCCAACAGCATAAACTTTCATTACCTTTTTCCTGGCTCTCTGTTCAAAGACTGAACACACACACACTAATGAGTGGAGGTATGTGTGGAGACTTGGTGGTTGCTATGGTGACAGAGCAGGGTTTCTTTGTATGAAAAGGATTTCTCCTGTTGCTATGATCTTTTATTGCAGCTTTTTGCCAAAATATACTCATAGGTGCTGTTTACCTCCTTCATTGTGCGAATGTGTGTTGTGGTATGGAGGATCAAAAATGCAAAAAATAAATCAATTACTCTAAATTAATATGCCATTAATGGATGTCCCTCTGATGTCAACTGCCAACCGCTCTGCCTCAACCTTCGGTGGACAGTAGCGTTAGCGCTAATTGTTGTTGTGGAGCCAAGAAAGAACGATTAAAATATCAGTGATCAGCTTGAAACTGATTTGAGGTCTGAGGAGGGCAGAGAAGAATTCTAAGGACATTTTTACTTCTTACTAAGATTGTGGCGCAAACATTCTGAATTTACAGTGACAATAAGAGGAAATTAATATTGTTTGCTGGATGTGACAGATGGAAAATTACAAAAAACAAAACAAGGGAAGGTGAAAAGCCTGATTATTTGTCAGCCATTATAGAAATTATGCACAAAAAAATATGAACATTCTACAAAACCGGTTAAATTAGGTTTTTATTTCTATTTACCGCTTTTTAAAAATTTTATTTATATGTGTTTTTTTTATATCCCTATCTTCCTTATATGTTTTATGTAAAGTACTTTGAACTGCCTTGTTGTTGAAATGTGCTATATAAATTAACTTAATATTTTCTCCATAAAATATGATCAGAGACCACTGTCCAGTGGGAAGCAAGGCATTTAAAGTTGATCCATGCACTCTGATGTTGATCAGCCAATAGGCAGAAAAGTAGACTCCATGACACACCCTGAATGACAGCCCCCTCATTTGCATAATGAAACAGAAATTCATAAAGAAATGTAAAAAGTAAACAGAAAAAAGTCTCGGCAAATAATTAAGTTGGGAAAATAATACATACATATAATGTATTCAATTTATGTCACATTTATTTTTATATTATTCATTATTTACTGAGTCATTTATTTATTTTTGATTTACACATTGTGGGTGGTGTGTATATGAACCTAATGCATACTATGTAGTGTAGGGTAATCTGTACAAACTATTAGTAGCCTGAAGCTTCTCACCTGGTCTCCTCACATAAGGCAAGGCAGGAAAGAAGAGTAGTATGGATGAATATATAAAGTCATATTGTGTGTGTTTCCAGGTGCATCCCAAAGTATCGTGTGTGTTTGAGTGACTCGTCAGACTGCCTGCAGTATGAGTGTGTTGGCCGGCCTGCAGCCTGTGATAAGAACAGTGTGGACCTGGCCTGCGATACTGACGGCCTGGTCCACCCCAGCCTTTGCCATCTGCAGCAGGCTGGGAAAACCCTGGCTTATATGGGCCACTGCCAGGTGAGTTGCACAGGAGAGCTGGAGGAAGCAGGGTTCAGGGGCCGCTGTCTTCATCTAGAAAAAACACTAACTGCTGTACATAGTGCAGACCTTACTGTCATTTTTTTTGATAAAATCTATGCAGTACTGACCTGGGAGCAAAACCATGTCCAGCTTTCAGCACTCAAAGTGCAGATCTCCATCACAGTTTAATAATCCTCTCATCTGAGATGGAAAATGAGCGTTTGTTTACTTGCCAAACTTGTGGTAGTCATAATCATTATGTCCTGCTGGCTGCCACCAGGTTAATTATTATAGCTGGCTGCAAAGACTTTTGAGCATCTCTGCCTCTCAGTTAGCTGATGCCTTCAGTACTACACGATATGAGGTAGAGGACAGAGCAGTCACAGACGAACAGCAAAAGTATTAACCTGTTAGTGCCACTAAAAGGAAAGCTGTAAATCAAATCAGTAGGTTTATTCTTGTTTTGCAAAAGTGCAGAGGAATGATGGTAATTTTGTCAGAAGAGCCATTTGTATGTAACGACCCCCCAGAAAGATTCATTATAAAAGAGGTCTATAGCAAGTGTTCCGCGAGCGGCTGCTAGGGTCCGTGTGACATAAAAAACTTCAAAAGGGTTTACACGTAAGCTCTGTGTGGAGATCCACGTGCCTTCCAATTTTTGTGACCCACAAATGCTACCAGGGCACCAACAGATCTACTGCGCATGTGTGGAAGGCGTCTGCCAAGCTGACTCCAGAAAGTAGTATAAACAGAAGTAGCCTAACAATTAACAATGAAAAGTGACAAAACACCTTAAACAACAAATAACAACCCAGAACTATAAAAATTAGCTGGCCAAAATTAACAAAAGAAAGGCAAGCCATCCAGACCAGCCCACAAAGGACAGTAGGATCTGGAGTCTTCCCTCTACCATAAACCAACCTTCATAAAGCCATGGAAACAAGACTACCAGACCCATCCATCCATCCATCCATTGTCAACCGCTCGCAGGGGGGGCTGGAGCCAATCCCAGCTGACATCGGGCGCAAGGCGGGTACACCCTGGACAGGTCGCCAGTGACTACCAGACCCATCAGAACACAAATAAAACAGAAAACACAGGTCACAGTCAAACTGCTGCTGCCAAGGCCAGAAGGGGGAGAGAAGTGATGGCTCAGTGGATAAGACACGTGCCTTTGGTGTGAGAGACCCGGGTTTAATCCCCCACTGTGACACATTCACCACTGTGTCCCTGAGCAAGACATGTATAGTAATTTGTACAATGTATAGTATTTTCCCTCAATCAGTCCAGACTTGATACACTATACAAGGGAAGAACAGAAGACATCATGGGTCTTTCTCATTTCCCAAATTTGTGCCTCCTCAATCCTGAACTCCTCGCATTGCTTCTTAGTCCCTCCCACCCGAGATGAGAGCTGGAGGAGTTGAGGAGGAGACGCCTGGAAAGTTGAGGAAACAGGCATTTAACGAAATGAGATGTCCTAGTCTCAAATCCATCATTTTAAAGCAATGTCATTTAAATATGGCATGTTTCTCAGCTGCATCATCTGTCCATTATTTGAGCTGTGATTTCTGTCAGATAAGCTTGACAGAACAGACAGAGCACCACTTATGAATACAACAGGAACCCTGTAGAGTCACGCCTCTTTTAAACATCACACCGGCTGAAAAGACTTCCGCAAAAGATACAATGGTGTATCCTCGCTTATAACTCCACCAACAAGCCTCCTTGATTTTCGAGGTGGATTTTAGGAATTGAGATGTCCTTCAAGATGGCACCCTGAGATTGATTTCAGGGTCACAGGCTTGAGGATTGAGGAGTGAAGGCACAAATTTAGAAAATGAGAAAGGCCCCTTGAGTCACAATTAAATGCACATCATAACCAGCAGGGGGAGTGTGTAACAGTCTGTTTGGCCCAGAACAAGGTATCTTGACAACTTCAGGATAGCGCCCTCGTTTTTCACCTTATTTGAATATTTCTTGATGATGTATTGGACCTATCTCTAACTGTACACTTAATGGCATTAAGCGTTGCTCCTTGTTTTGTAGGCCATTTGCCTGGTGAAGAGCGGGTAGGGTCGAAAAATTGCTATTTTCAGTCAAAGAGGTTGTCCAGTGTGCCCAGTCTGAGGACGCTGTACTTTCTTCCTGTATTGTTGTCATTGAATCTGTTGTCCTGCACCCATGAAGGATGACATGTGCACACAACTGCCTGTCTCATCTTGACTACAACCATATTGCCATGATTAAAATAGTAATCTAGGAATCTTAATGTTACACTTCATTAAGTTGGGGGACTCGTTATAGACAAATAAAAAATTAATTTGAAGCAGCAGAGGCTGAGATATTGTGACTTGCAGTCCATAGTATGGGTCATGTTCCAAAAACACTGGGCCCTACATTTCCCATAATGCAACTCAGTAGTGTCTTGGTAGAATTAGGTTAGCCAGTTAAAAGGGTAGTTAAAAGAGAAAAGAAAGGAATCATATGGTAAAATCAGTTATGGTGGTTAGTCAGTGTCCAGCCTAAAACTTAAGCCTAGTTCACACTACACGATTTCGTTTAGGTTCGCGTCATTTCCCGTTTCACATTTCACGTGTGTTTTCTTGACAAAATGTGGTTTGGGGACAAGCGTCTGGTGACAGAGTCGCTGTCAGCTCTCGTAGTGTGTGACCCCCTGTCACCGATCACACGCCACAACGACTTCAAGACTCCCGTCACAAGACGGCAAGTTGTGTAGTGTGAACAGCATGGCCATTAGCCGACACTGAAAGTCATGTAGTCTGCTCGAGCCTTGGTAGAACTGAAATTGTCGTGTCTCAAAATACATTTTATTTGCAACATTCTGTCACTGATCAAATGATTTCATCATGATAACACAGCAGAAAGCTAGCTAACAACAAGACCACTTCAATGCAAAAGCAGAATATAGTAGGATAAATAAAACGTTCGCAACAGCTGAAATACACATTGATAACTTTCATTTTCTCAACTAAATTACAGAGCAAGCAAATCTGTAGGCTTACATGTAACCTGGATGTATGAAGGGTACTAAATCAAATTTTACTTTGTTTCACCATTGTCATATTAGTTATTAATCTAATATGCCACAAGGCTTTTAGTAGCATCTCGTGGTTTTCATCAGCGAATGGTGTAAACCTTCCAGCCACCATGAGGTGAAAACTCAAGAAATATATTTGTTTGGTGTGTTCTGTTCAGGATGCCTGTAGGAAGCCTCAGCAAGTTTGTGGCCATAATGGTGAGACCTACAATACAGTATGTGATGCCTTCTCGGACCGCGTAGCTGTGGACTATGAGGGCCCCTGCCATGCTGTGGGGGCCATGTCTGACTTGGCCCCAGACTCTGCGTGCAGTGTGATTCCCTGCCCCCCTCTGTCCACTCCAGGCTGCCTGCCTGTCACCCCACCTGGTGAGTCACACAATCAGACAACCTCACATGATTGGTCTTTCCTTTTGACATGTACATAGCGTTTCTGGCGGTTGTATTGAAATTACAAATCCATGACCTCTGACCTCTTTCCAGGAGCCTGTTGTCCCATATGTGCCAGCATGCTGCAGATCCTCTGGAACAAAGAGCAGATGAACATTTTCTCTCTGGTATGAATGGGCACAGTTGTGCTGGGCCATTTATGTCATAAAGCTGCCACTTATTCACTGTGTACTTTCATAAATTCATAAATAGTATAGTGTTATATAAGAGAATATCAGAAGTGCTGTAGTCTATCATCAGTGTTGTTGTAAGGTTTTAATTGTATGCAGATACAATCCCAAAGAACTATTTCAGCACCATAATGCTCAACAACAAACAACAACAAAAAACTATGTTGGGAGCTATAGTCAAACCTATTATTATTCTACAATATGTTTTTGAAAACTGACAATAAAGAAAGCTGATTTGAGTAACCTAAAAGCAGATTTAGATTAAACTGAGGTGAGATAGTGTTCTCTGTTTGGAAACTGCTGGTGGTATTAGATGTAATTACTAGTATTAGCCACTTGGGAGAGCTATAAATCCAAGTCCAAGTGCCCTAAAGAAGCTACCAGCGGACTGAATAAATATCCTACACAAAAGAACACAGTGCTCTTAGTGTTACTACAATTTCAGCAGCAGTGTTTCACTGTGTACCCTTCTTAAAATAATTTTAATGTTTTTTCTTTCTTTCCTCATAAAATCATGTACTCTGTTAACTTCCGAGGTAAGTCTGCTATAGGGGAGGAAATGCAGCCCCTTTTAAAATGGCTTAGTCCTGTCTCGACTTGACTAAATGTAGCCTGGCAGTATTCCACACACAAGATGTTGACAGATCTATCTATATCTACGTTCTATTATAACCAATATATTAGATATTCTCTGCAGGTGATCAGTACAAATGGAAACTATTAAGTGTTGAGCAGAAGTGACAAAATGCTAACTAAATAGTCAAAATTATGTCAGCGTTCAAATTAAGGCTTTCTCCAGGCATTACTTGGAAAGGGACATAACTAAAGGAGTCCATTTGATAAGTTGCCCAGGGGTAGAAAGTAACTAAATACATTTACTCAAGTATATCCATTTCTTCCTTCTTTATAGCTCAACTCCACACCTTTCAGAGGGAAATATTCTACTTCACTACAACTATGTTAATAGAATACAGTGCAGTGTTAAAGATTAAATCAGTCCGACACAACTTTTTTTTAACACCTTGACATAGTTGAGACCCAACAAGGAAATTATAATATTTTAATATCTCCTGCAAAAAGTAAAGATTAGAGAAAAGCCCAAAAGATGTGTTGCAGAACTTATTTTTTTCTCGTTTCCTCATCTCACAACCTCTCAGAGAGCTGGCCCCTTACGCTGGGAGCCACTGGACAAAACTAACTGTCTACAAATCAGTTAAAACTAGCTCCACCGCGAGCAGCTGTATTAACAATTGTCACAGCCCGGCTCTTGGACTGTAACAAAAACAGAAGACACACGAGTAAACGAAATAACAAAATGATTTATTGATATGAAAATAAGCAAAACCAATGAGTGGGAAGAATCCGTAAAGTCAGTAGTATAGAGAGTGGATGGGTGAAAATGTGCTGCATGGATGTTGTGAAAAGCAGACAAGAACCAAACAACAAAACAAGCTGTGAGATGAGGAGGTCCAACCAAGACTGACTGCTGCTCTGGCTTATATGCACTGGGCAAACCGGGTTCAGATGTGTCCCATGCTGCTAATTATCCTGCCTTTCAGGTCTGAGACAGAAAGCATATGAACAGCAGAGGGGCCGTCACACAGTCTGTAATGTCAGATATGATAATATATCAGTCCCAGTAGACATTTTACTTCTGAACAAGTACCTTTAAGTGAGAATGTTGAATAGACACTTGTAATGGAGCATTTTTACATGCTGCTTACACAATCAGGCATATAGGTTCCCTATAGCAGCTCTTCTTAAATGAACACAAGATGAAACTACAAACACATACTGAAATCATAATATTCACATAAAATACAAAAATTGTTCCAATTTCCACATTTCCAACAAAACCATAGGCTCCACATTCAAATCAAAGTAGAAACAGCACCAGAGATGGAGACAAATTACTGCAGCACCACAGCAGTGAGAGTGGAGGAAAAGGGAAAGTCGTTAAAATCACTCGATTCATTGCCTTGTTGTTTTTTGCCGTGTTTCACAGCAACTACTTGCTTCTAGATTTGAAGCCTTTTTACCACGGAAAACCTCAGAGATGGGGCTTTCAGAGATTTAGAGTCTGGAGCCAGGCTAGTTAGTGTCTAACCACTATGGAGAGTTAGTCATGCTCGCTGCTCAGTGAAATTTCAACCTCCAAATATCAAAAGTAGTTCAAACGCATCAAAGCCCGAGCAGTCTGAGGAGATAAATGTTTCATTAAAATATTTTAACTACACACACCTTTTGATTCTTACATGGAGGCTCCTGTATCCTTTATCAGGTCAGCTCAGAGGTTGAAAAAAAATAAAAGCCATTTTGAGTTTGTTTGGTTTGAATGACATTTTTCATTTAAATTAAAGAAATTACTCAAAAAGCAACACAGACCTTTCTGAGCCAAATAATGATGCAGCTACACGAAAGGCTTGCATTAAAAAGTCATATTATGAAAAAGGTTTACGTTGTTATTTTACGAGTCTGATCACTCAAAATATTTTGATTGAATTCTCAAAACATTGTGACTTTTTTCTCATTTGTGATGCAGACATGAGATCTAAATATATTACTTTTTTAAGACTTTTTTCAAGTGACTTTTTTTTCTCACAGCATTACAGCTTTTCCTCAAAATGTCTGATTTCTCTTTCTGAACAGTGTTCAAAAATGTTTTTGGAAATGTCTATACAATAAAAGATCACTGATATTTAAAAGTAATTTATAATATTCCTTGTTTGTTTTTATTGGCTAACAGTAGTTGACACAATAATTGATCAAGCCTTTACCTGTAGGTTAGATGTTTGTTCTGAAGACGGTTATTGTGTTTATGCTTGATTGAAATGCACTCATCATGCATTATGTCTTTACTGACTTAACCTTACTCAAGTTTCGCTTGAGAGTTGGACAGCAACAGTAATTTAACCGTATCTGATGGCCCGCCTTCTTTTTGACCTTTGACCTCTGCGAGCAGCTGAATAAGAACCAGCCGGTGACGGTACGTGACATCCTGCAGATCCTACGGCTTCATGTCTCAGTGCCACAGTGCGACGTCTTTGGCTACCTGAGCATCGACCACGAGCTGGTGGTCCTCATCGCTCCAGTGGACCAGCAGCCAACACCACTGCAGGTAATACACACACACACACACACACACACACACAGTTAACTCAGTCACTTGGCCATTTAATTGCACATTCATATCTTTCATGAAATTTTTCAGCTTTTCAGTGCAGTGTGTTAAACATTAGTGTTAGCGGGATATATTTTCTATTTCTAGTCACTTATTTCACTAATTTTAATTCTACTTCATTCTCTCTCTCTCTCTGTAATATGCTAAAATGATCCGCCAAATATACCTGAGCGGCTCACTCAAGTTCGGTCTATATGTGGGAAACACTGGTATCACAGCCTGAGCACAGCCAGTCTGAGCCGTAGAGCTCCACTGTTGTCCAGAAACTGTTAAACCCATCAGTGGGCCTCACTGCTGACCTGGGTCACATGTTCCTTCATCACCATGAACACACGCACTGTAGTTTATTCTGACTCAGTCCCTCATACACCGTCCTGCTGCCCCTGATATTCACTAGAGCACCACATGTGGATTCATCCACTGCTGAAAATAGTCCAACAGATGAACCCTTTCCTCCTGGATGGGCCACGTCTGAAACTAGTGTCCAGCTGTGTAGGAAATTACTGAACCTTTAAAAAGAAAATGAAACCAGACAGGATAGATGAAGTCAGAGAGTACATGAGATTAACATGTTGTTGGTTTGGTTCTTTTCATGGGATTTGTTGACAGTAAGAACAATATTGAAAAACACCTGTCACGGGTCGGGGTGCTGAGTGCAGACTGAGGTAAGGACCCAAATGCAGACAAAGGCGAGGCGAGAGGAGGATGCAGTTCAAAAGGAGATTTATTAACTCAAAACTAAACTGAAACATTCTTACAAGGAGCTTGAGGCAAAGTCTAAACCAAGGTAATCCAGAAACAAGGAACGATCCAAAACCACAGGGAAATAATCCAGAACAGGAAAAACGAAGGAACAGGCAGGAACACTCAACATTAGATGCACATACACACAGGACGTGACCCAGACTGAAGACAAGAGCAAGCATATATACACACACACACGGACTAACGAGCGGGGCGGGAGCAACACTGGTGACCGTGATCAAGGCTAAAACATGTTCATATCCATTTACTCCCTACCAAATTTCAAATTGTATCAGATTGAGGATGTCAGTTGCATAATAATGTGACTGTGGCCTAAAGGTAGGATCACTGACTATCTAAATGTATTTTTTTCCAACCCAGTATTATGGCAAAGTAAAAAAATTCTTACAAGTTTTGAAAACACTTTTATACTAATATCAGAGAGAGATTTATAACTGATTTTATAAGACAAGATGGTGTTCGCAGCTATGATCAATTGCAGTTGTAACCTTCATTGCATATGCATACTACATGCAACATTAAAGTGTTGGTGGAGGGAGAGCCAAAGCCTTAAGCCTCTTGAAAATATCACTAAACTCTACTGTGTGAATTGATAAATACATCTTAATCATAAATATTCATTAATTTTAACTATTTTCCATAATAACAGAAGAAGTTAACTTTCCAGGTTGCACAGTTTTTGCCTGACAACAGGAGCTCTTTCATGTCCCATTTCTTTTTACACAGACATCATAAACACACAGGCTCAAGAAACTCCCAGACACAGCAGAGTTTAACTCTGCTAATTACCCACCTCACTCCTTCTGGATATAAATATTCATGCACAATGTGTACACTGGTAAACTGAGGGGGAGGACGCATCTGTCTCCTTCAAGGTCTCACTTTACCGTTTTCCACTTGCATTATCTTGTTATACATTCTAATTTGCAAAATGTCTATGTATGACTGATATCTAGTTACCTCTAACAGAGGAGAAATCAGAGAGAAGTATGCGAGTAGTTAAAGTAAGTACTGCTCATCATTGTCAATATTCCAAAATACCCATAATGCACCAAAGCATCAATGACCTATTTAATTAGTGTGATTGTGGCAGCAGTGTCGTCCATTTTTTATCAAATTTAAAAACATATATTGAATAGTGGTCTTTGGGACTGTATAGAAAAGTAAGTATTACCCCTGCTAAAATAAATCATACTTAGTACACAGGTGTCCCCTGGGCTTAACAAACTGAAACATTTTACCAGTAGTGTCATCGTGTGACTAGTTGTGAGTTAAAAAGACTTTGAATATAACTCACGAACTCATGAAGGTACAGGAGCCCCATTACTTTTGTGGATTATTTTTTTCTAGTACTGACATCTATCTGTGTAGGCATTGTTCGTATTTCATCGTGGCTTTTTGTTCTTCTTTATTCAGGGGTGGGAGGGTACTGTACACATACATGAAGCACCCACCTACAGTGGGTACGGAAAGTATTCAGACCCCTTTAAATTTTTCACTCTTTGTTTCATTGCAGCCATTTTCCAAAAATCAAAAAAGTTCATTTTATTTCTCAGTAATGTACACTCAGCACCCCATCTTGACAGAAAAAAACAGAAATGTAGAAATTTTTGCAAATTTATTAAAAAAGAAAAACTGAAATATCACATGGTCATAAGTATTCAGACCCTTTGCCGTGACACTCATATTTAACTCAGGTGCTGTCTATTTCTTCTGATCATCCTTGAGATGGTTCTACACCTTCATTTGAGTCCAGCTGTGTTTGATTATACTGATTGGACTTGATTAGGAAAGCCATACACCTGTCTATATAAGACCTTACAGCTCACAGTGCATGTCAGAGCAAATGAGAATCATGAGGTCAAAGGAACTGCCTGAAGAGCTCAGAGACAGAGTTGTGGCAAGGCACAGATCTGGCCAAGGTTACAAAAAAATTTCTGCTGCACTTAAGGTTCCTAAGAGCACAGTGGCCTCCATAATCCTCAAATGGAAGACGTTTGGGACGACCAGAACCCTTCCTAGAGCTGGCCGTCCGGCCAAACTGAGCTATCGGGGGAGAAGAGCCTTGGTGAGAGAGGTAAAGAAGAACCCAAAGGTCACTGTGGCTGAGCTCCAGAGATGCAGTCGGGAGAAGGGAGAAAGTTGTAGTAAGTCAACCATCACTGCAGCAATCCACCAGTCGGGGCTTTATGGCAGAGTGGCCCGACGGAAGCCTCTCCTCAGTGCAAGACACATGAAAGCCTGCATGGAGTTTGCTAAAAAACACCTGAAGGACTCCAAGATGGTGATAAATAAGATCCTCTGGTCTGATGAGACCAAGATAGAACTTTTTGGCCTTAATTCTAAGCGGTATGTGTGGAGAAAACCAGGCACTGCTCATCACCTGCCCAATACAGTCTCAACAGTGAAGCATGGTGGTGGCAGCATCATGCTGTGGGGGTGTTTTTCAGCTGAAGGGACAGGACGACTGGTTGCAATCGAGGGAAAGATGAATGCGGCCAAGTACAGGGATATCCTGGACGAAAACCTTTTCCAGAGTGCTCTGGACCTCAGACTGGGCCGAAGGTTTACCTTCCAACAAGACAATGACCCTAAGCACACCGCTAAAATAACGAAGGAGTGGCTTCACAACAACTCCGTGGCTGTTCTTGAATGGCCCAGCCAGAGCCCTGACTTAAACCCAATTGAGCATCTCTGGAGAGACCTGAAAATGGCTGTCCACCAACGTTTACCATCCAACCTGACAGAACTGGAGAGGATCTGCAAGGAGGAATGGCAGAGGATACCCAAATCCAGATGTGAAAAACTTGTTGCATCTTTCCCAAAACGACTCATGGCTGTATTAGATCAAAAGGGTGCTTCTACTAAATACTGAGCAAAGCGTCTGAATACTTATGACCATGTGATATTTCAGTTTTTCTTTTTTAATAAATTTGCAAAAATTTCTACATTTCTGTTTTTTTCTGTCAAGATGGGGTGCTGAGTGTACATTACTGAGAAATAAAATGAACTTTTTAGATTTTTGGAAAATGGCTGCAAAGAGTGAAAAATTTAAAGGGGTCTTTCCGTACCCACTGTATGTGCCATGTATTCCATGAATATTTAGCCTGGGACAACAAAGAAAGAGAGAGATGATTGACCGTTGCAATGTTTTTTTTATCGCTCTCCACCGAGTAACATTGACAATGGCAACGCACAGTGGATAGGCAATTTTACTTTGTTAAACAGACCAGACTGCCAGGTTGCGTCCAATTACAATTATGAACATACACCCCCAGGCATTAACGGCCTCATCAGTAACAGTATTGTGCCTACATTTATCATAGATTGTTATGTCAGAATAAACACACCTTACTATTAGCCCATTATTTATTTTAGGAACCTAAATATACAGGAAATTAGAAAGGTACACAGAAATAAACCAGTGGCACCAGTGGTCCTACAGCTCCCCATAAACTTCTCAAATGAGGCTTTCTGGGGAGCTAATGTCCCCTTCAGGAGAGCTGAGCTCTCTATGTAGGTCACTAGTTGCACATCACTAAATATGTTGCTTTTGTGTTTTTTTGCACCTTGTGCACCTCTGATCCTATATAATCTTCACCAAACCTGATATATTCCTTTTTTTGCTGAGCCTAAAAAACTCTTGAATACATCACGAAATTGCAGTAGCAATTCTGTAAAATGTAATGGCATTATTAGGACCCTATTGAAATTGTAATGATTATTCTTTCTTTCTTTCTTCTTTTTCCCAAATGAATCGCACTTTTGACGGCCTAAATGTCCCCGAAAACTCACCAAACTTTGCACACATGTCAGGCGTGGCGAAAAATAACGTATTTTATGGGTTCTGCACATGGGTGTGGCAAAATGGCTCCATAGCGCCACCTACAAAGTTGGAAAAAATTAGCCCCCGCGCCTAGTTCAACCTACATGCACAAAATTTTTGGGGAACATGTATCATACCAAGACACACAAAAAATCCTCAAGAACCCATACCCTAAACTCCATTTTGAATTGAAAATGCCATTTAACAGGATGTGTACTTTAATGAACTCGTCCTACAGAATTAATCGGATCGACTTCTATTTTCTGCTGTGTCTTCTAAAGGCATTAACGATGAAAAGTTGTGCTATCTGTGAGTTTTCTTCAATGGGCGTTTCTGTGGCGTGGCGTCCAAATTCGATGATTAGCCATGAAACAGGAAGTTGTTATAACTTCAGTGTACATGCTCACATCTGCACCACACTTTACATGTAGGATGAGAGTCCCACCCTGAACACATCCATATTCCAACAAACACTCAATGTCATAGCTCCACCTGCTGGCAACAGGAAGTGTCCCTTCAACAATGCAGCCCCCGCGCACTGAATCACCAAGATGCACGAAACTTTCGTGGTAAATGTATCATCCCCAGACGCACAAAAAAACCTCTTAGAGCCATACCTGAAATCTGACAGGAAGTCAGTCATTTTGATTTGAATGTGTGATTACAACCCATTTATGGCCTTTTACAAGGTCCGTACTTTAACAAACTCCTCCTAGGGAATTAATCGGATCAACTTTTCTACTGTGCATTGAAAAGGCATTGATGATGTTGTGCTATCTGTGAGTTTTTGTCAATGGGCGTGTCCGTGGCGTCAAAGATCGACGGTTCGCCTTAAAACAGGAAGTTATTATCACTTCAGACTACATGCTCAGATCTGTACCAAACTTTACATGGTTGATAACAGTCCAGCCCTCAACAAATCTACATGCAAATATTCACTCAGCGTCATAGCGCCACCGACTGGTTACAGGAAGAAAGCAATTTCTGATTTGATTTACATGGCATTTTCACAGCGTGGTCCACACTTCACCTACTGCTGCACAACATATAATTAGCGGGTGTTGTCTAGCGCCACCAAGTGACATTTAAGTCCTTCGTGACTGGTCCAAAACGCACGACAATTCAGGGCCTTCCAGCCACTGTGCGCAGCTTTAATATTATATTATTATTATTGCATTATAGTACAATATAGTACAATATAGTACAATATTACCTTTAATAATTTAAAATTGGTCTTTGCAATTTCCGACAGTTCATCCTTGTGCAAGGCTGTAAAATACTCAACATGATTTGAATATTCTCCAAAAGTCAGCCGTCAGCATCAATTTTACAAAGGTTTGCAATGCTCCATCAGGATCCTCTACTAACAGCGTCACTCAGTTTTTATTCAAGCTCTTTAGTGTATGCCATATCTATGGCCTTAGAGAAGTGATCCCATAATTTATTATAATTGTAAATGACATAAAAAGTAGAATATTTTGGCCCATATTGTACCCTCCAGTCATCTAAAAGGAAGAGGTTTATGTGTGTCACCTAATAAGTGGGTTAGAAACACTGAAGTACAGCTGCACTCTATCTGGAGAGTCTTCAGGCTGGTGTTTAACTGCTGCTGCTGCTAGCAATCTTATCTAATCTTAGACCAGAATCAGTTCATGCCCAAAAGCACTGAACATGCTTCATACAAAAAGCTGCTGATAGACTGATACTGCATTGTGGAAGAACTAAAGGGTGGGAAAAAAGGGAGTGAAGAGAGAGAATAAAACAGCAATAAACTGAAAATTAGTTTGAAAGAAGAAATCATAAAAATTCCTTCCCGCTATCAGAAAAAAATCTCAATATCGATTCCAACATCAAGACAATTTCTTAAATGAAAAGACAATAGTTAGAATAGTTGTACAGTCAAAGTCTGTCCAGTCAGTTTCAAAGTTATGCTTCTATAACACCTCAAACAAAGCAAAAATACAAGTGATCAGAGATCTCAACCAACTGCATCCGATCAGCCCTCATGAAAAATTTTTTTTTATTTGGCACCTTTCAGAGTAACATGCAGTAGCACCTCCTCTCAAAAAATCAGCATCTAAAAGCATCACTTATAGCAGAACAACATTAGAAAGGCAGAAAGTCCACAACATCCATACAGGGGGAATGTATCTCCAAGAAGGGCTGTATCAGTCGTGTCATTTCTGAGGACATTGTGAAATCACCTTGGCTTGTAGGAGGAATGTACAGATATTAGTGGTCCTGTCTTATTTTAGACGAAGGTCCTTCTGTCCTGGTGAACAGTCAGAGAAACCCTGTGACCTCATAGCAACAGTATTTTAACAGAAGAAAATTATTTTATATGTGGATGTTAAGTATAAATATACTTTAAAGAGCATTAGAAATGATTGACTTGAAATGAACATCCACGTCTTCCTGGCTGTATCTCTCAGTTCCCATCCAAAGTGTCTCATTGAAAAAATGTCTTGACAAAGGAAATGAAGCAAACATAACTAGACATACTGTATTTAGTGTCCATGACATCCAGTGTGCATTTGTTGAATTTATGCCTGCAGTAATGAGTCTATCCTTATCCAGATAAACATAGCATATTGGTTTCAGTGGGCTTGGATTGCTTTGCTCCCAGCTGTGTGCATGCCTGAATATGAAAGGTATTGAAATCGTCAGATTAGTTTGATCTGTTTTCCAAGGCTATATTTTAGTTTATTTGCGGACATCCAGTTTGTAATGAAAATATAAAACCAAGGTGAATTTAAAAAATGAATAACAAGATCAATTAAAGCTGCAAGCAGCGTTGGGCGGGCCCTCGCACTTGTAGCGCGTCCGGGTGTGAGCCGGCGGAGTTGCACATTCTGGAGCTCTGCCGGTGCGGCTGTGAATTTGCTACGCGGTTCTGACGCCGCATGAAGGTGTTATATGTCACTTCCTGTGTCCCCTATGTGGAGCTACATAGCACTTGCCGCTATGAATATAAATCGGTATTGTTGTGTAGATGTCTGCGGGGTGGGAGAGTTATCAAGCACGTAAAAAAAATAAAATAATTTTAGCAAATTCAATAGGGACCTCACACGGTCGTGCTCGGGCCCTAATAAACAGAGACAGGCTGGCAGTGGTCCTGTGCTGACTCAGATGGAGTTTGGAAATCCAAATGTTGAGCGTGCTCTTGTATTTTCCAGATCGAAGCCTGCAGTAAGGAGGCAGAGAAGATCGATTCCCTCATCAACTATGCCAGCCCAACTCTGGTCTCTCACGTCCCCCTCTCCGCCTTCCTCACCTCCGAGATCAAGACCTCCTCCATCCACTCGTCCGGGTGCGCTCTGCTTTCATTTCTGCCCCCTGACCTGTGCCTCCTCCTAGGCCTCCTCATCACCGCAGCCCCTGTCCTCCACCAGCTCTAAGTGCTTATTATCTCCGCCCAGCCCCTCCCTCACTAACTCTTGAGTTTTCCAAAGTAACCCCCCTCCCCCCATGTGAGGACGCAGGTGTCATGAGGTGAGTGTGTTCGTGGAGCAGGAAGAAGCAGAGGTGATGTCTTCCGACAATCATTCCTATTGACTCACCTGCGCGTCAAACAATCAAGGCGGTGGAAAAGCTATTATTATGGAAAGCTTTTGTATGAACAGTGTTATTCAGTGAAGTGTGTGTGTGTGTGTGTGTGTGTGTGTGTGTGTGTGTGTGTGCGCGCGCGTGTGTGTGTGCGGGCGTGTGCGTGTGTGGATTTCGGAGACAAACGAGGACAAAACATCTCTTTGTGGCAGTACATCTGTCTGACAAATTACCTAAAATTCCCTCGGCCACACACACTTTCACACGCACAAAGAGTGGTGTCACTAAATCCACACTTTGGACCAGAGGAGCTTTTATTCATAGTTCCAACAACAGTCAAAGGACACCCACCCCCCTGTTTATTGTGTCCGCACTGCAAGAACTGGGATCGATTGTAGTTCTTAGAACGCCGTTTTGAGACGCTACTTCAGAGTAGGTACTCTCCCAGCACAATAAGAGCCTTGAGTGATGTAAGTGTACGGTCATTGGTCCAGACAAAAGTATATGTTGATTGGTCAAACACATGAGCCGATGCAGCGCCAGCAACCGCCTTTTTTAAAACCTTAAAAGTGTAAAATGTAGCCGTAAGCTCATATCGTATCATAGCATGGATGCATAACACGATCATGAAAAGTAGGCTTGAAAAATTTTACAAAACAGGACAAATGGACCGACAGTGAAGTCACACAGAAGGGACGTTGCCATACCAACCGCCAGCCACTTACATCACTCATTCCTATTGGCAGTGCGAATCCAAGCAGAAAAAAAACCCTGGAAGGTAATGCAGTTGTCAGGGGAGCTCCGCAGAACTGTTAAGTCCAAAAACGCCTCACGTATTAGGTGTAATCTCATCAGCATTGAAGTGATACTTTTCAAGCCTCCAGTAAATGAGAATGCACAGCTTGCACCAGAGCGCATGATGTATATACATGTGAGGTATATATGGACCTAGTGTTTGAACCTCTAACCTCAGCAGTGTTAGTGCCATGCTCATGGACTGAGCCAGCTCATATGAAACTAATCTAGCCTCCAAAGTTGGTTGTAACTACTGACCAAATAAAGTGCCCAAAAGTCAATCAAAAAGTATTAAGGGAGCCCAAGTTCTGTGTGTTTCACACTGCAGTGTAGTGAAGCAGATCAGAGCTGAAATGGTGATCTGGGATCTAAATCAATCTTAGATATTGAGTATATGTCAGTTTTACTGATAACATGAAGCTTTTCTCCAAAACAGTCCTGGTAACACTTTATGTGAGGTGTGTTCATTAAGTATCATTAATATATTATGAGCACGTTCCAAGTGCATGAAAACAAATATCAGAACATGACGTATTGTTCACAATGTGAATAATGTGTTACAGAAACTTTAAAGATAGAAACACTTAATGGTGGAACTGTATAATTAATTCTATGACAAAAGAACAGTTTAAAGACCATACCACTGTTATTCTGCACCGTAGCCTGATAACTAAAAGTCATGTGTGCTTTTCTGTACATTTCTGCTGAGCATTTTCCAAAACATAACATCACTGTCTAGATGGATTTCCTACTTTGCAGCTCCTTTCACAACCAGGGCTTCAACTAACAATGATTAAAATGTTTTGATTACTGGTCAACTAATTTAGTGTAGTCTTTAAATAGTCAGAAAATAGTGGTTTAAGACCAGTGGTTCCCATCCTCGGGTTGGCACCTCCTAAAGGGTCACAAGATAAATCTGACCATAAGATGATTAACAAGATAGAAAATAGGGAAAGGAAATTAGGAAAATATCTTGACATCATCAGCGTTATTTTCTTAGAGCCAGTAAAACAGTTTTCACAGACTGAGTAGTACTCCCTGTGATCAAGTGTAAACATGGTAATGCCTGTATAAACCATTTTTCTTCATACCTTGTTGGAATATTATACCGTCTTTGTTTCAAACAGGATTAGAATCTGCAGCAAAGGCATCACACTGACCTCAACGAATGTGTGCTTGTGTTGTGAGTGTTAAGTCTAGTTCACACTACACGATTTTTAGCCCAATTTGCCGCTCGGCGACCGTCATAACCACGGCGGTTGCCAGTCGTTATGTGTGAACTACTCAATGACGCATCAAAACGGCTCCCCGACACATTTCTGACACATCGCCTGATATCTAGCATGCCAAATATCTGGCAGAGTCGGCCGACATCCACATCCAGCCAATGACAGCAGGCAGCTACTTTTTCACAGCAAAACGCTTTTTACTCACCTCCAGCTCTCTCTGTAGCTCTAGACAATCCCTGCTACCTGCATGTGCTAATCCATCCTTTCACCCAGATTCTTTGACTTTTTAATTGGTATCTTTGTAATAACAAACAACAGCTGTTTCGTGTGTAGGTTCGCGTCATTTCCCGTTTCACATGGGTTTGAAGACCTGCGTCGGGTGACAGAGTCACTGTCAGCTCATGTAGTGTGTGACCTCCTGTCACCGATCAGTCACGTTGTGTGAACGCCACAACGACTTCAGGACTCCTGTCACAAGACGGCAAGTTGTGTAGAGTGAACAGCACGGCCATCAGCCGACGATGAAAATCGTGTAGTCTGCATAAGCCTTTAGGGAAATACTTTACTGGGGTATCTTATAAACAACTTCTAATAAAGTGCTACCAGGATGTCCCAGCAGCAGGTGAATGGTCCATTCTGATAAAACAGCAGAAAAGCCTGGATCACCACTCCCTTTATGTGAGGCCAGTAGCTCTGAAAAGCATTTAAAGGGATGCTTCCTGTCTGTACATATGAACTAGAAGCCATTTAATAACAAAGGACAATCAGCTTGTCACTACCCACAATCCACGTTGGGTAAAGAAGATTTCCACAGTATGCCTCGCATATAGTGTCTTATATGAAGTAATAATGAAATTGCAATAATTATATTTGTTAAGAAATGTCTATATTTGATATGTATCTGATAATGATCACCTATGTGCCATGTTTTTTAAACAAATACATGTTGTCCTTTATTGCATGATGACAATTATGAAGTGTTTTTACTCCAGAATGTATTATAGTGTGTCCTGTCTCTATGTGTTTGTCTGCCTGTACAGCACAACATGTCCTCGTCTCTAACAGTATTACTGTGCTAGGCAGCTCTGTAGCAGGGATTGCTCACCATGGCTCCTCCGTCTATTATTATTTGTATTATTATTATTATTATTATTATGAATATAGTTATTGTTATGTTGATGTCTTCTGGAGCCAACATGAATTCGGTTACTGTTACGGTAGATTTTTTCTTCAGTGTTTCATTTGATTTTATGTCACTTTAAAAAAAGAAAGATCACACCTTCAAACTTAGCAGAAATTGTAAAGACTAAACTTTTCTGTATCCGGGTGAATTCTTTCTTAGCTAAAAGTCTAAATAGCCCAAAATAATAAGAAAAGCCCTTAATCATTTTTGTCTGAGCAAGAGATGAGAAGATTGATACAGATTTACTGTCTGTATAGTGCAGAGCTGGTAGACATTGTTAGCTTTAACCCTGGAAGTTCAGTGACTGAAACAGGACAATATCACTTTAGATGAGCAATCCAGAACAACAAAGTGTTGAAAATAACAGTTGAATTTATTAAATTAAAGCGATGGAAATGTACATTATACATGCACAATTATACAACAGGCACTGGGAGTTTATCCACCCTTGCCCCCCCAGCCTGTATTTGGGACCGGCCTTTATTTGTTTGTGATGACCACATTTCAGCCATTATTTGACTAACGACTTTTATTTGAGAAAATTGATTAATTAACACCCAATATCTGGTTTATTTTATTCATCTATACACGACAAGAATGTTAAAGTCAATCAGTGAGCTTAAGAGGTGTTGGTAGGTGTGTTTTTGAACTTTGGACAGAGCCAGACTAGCTGTTTCCCACTACGTCCAGTCTTAGTGCTAAACTAAGCTGCGCCTTGATTCCAGCTCCATATTTAATACACCAACACGAGACTGATATCGATTTTCTCACCTCACTCTCAGAATGGAAGTTAATCCACAAATTTCCTTAGCAGCCTTCTGGAAGCTGAGCGGAACAGTATTTTTATCAGGGAGCTCATTTATCCTGTCTTTCCATGTGATGTAAATGCATTATTCTGGATGTAACAATTCGGCTGTCCTGAGCATGTAAACCCTCAGGCAGGCCAGAGGAGTCTGTCCAATCAGCTGACATGGTTTTTATGATGATAACACATAGGGCTGTTGTCACTCATCCTGTGTTTTTCAGTTATATCATGTTTCATTTGTTCTTACCAAATTGTCTATGGTGTTGGCTCATTGTGTGTTCCTCTTTGCATCATCACTATGTTTGACTCTGTAAAAGCACCATGAATTTTTAAAAAGAATTGGAAGAAAGTCAGCAGGATGCATATTTCATGAAATATTAAAAAAAAGCAATACCACAACCAACAATGTGTTTTTCTGTGTGAAGCTGACAAACTTTTTAAAAAACAAGTAAATAAAATAATAATAAATAAAATCAAATAAGTAAATATAAGTTGAATAAAGTCAAAATGTGCCCGAGAACCAATTCATTAATCTTTAACCCACTGAGATACAAAAACAAGCTGGATGTTACATTAACACACACTTTCTCAGATTAGCACCTGAAGTGAATGATCAATGATGAAACCAATCAGGTGTAAATCCAGTCTGTGCTGTACACTGTATCAAGCTATGTGTCGCGGTTAGATTAGAGGGATGGTACAGGAGTTCCAAACACAAACATAAGGTGGAAGAATTATATCATTTTGCTAAAGCATCTTTTTATCTTAAGTTAATGTATTTTTGCACTAATATACAGTATCTCACAAGTGAGTACACCCCTCACATTTTTGTAAATATTGGATTATATCATTTCATCTGAAAACACCGAAATGCCACTTTGCTCCAAGGCAGCCTCGATGCTGACTTGATGCTGCCTATTACAGATAAACCAGCGCGGCTCCGGCATCTTACGAAAAATTGCCAGGATGGCAGACTAACAAGCCAAATTTGTATACAAATATACGTTTTTTAAAGTTTTTGGTAGTTTTCTCGCTTTGATTATTGACAAGTTAGCAATAACTAAACACTGAACTTACAGGGCTTGACTGGGACAAAAAATTGGCCCTGGCATTTTAGGCCCAGTTTGGGCCACCATAATCAGTCGGACACCCCTCACCAATGCACCATCCTTCCATATAATGTGTGTACCTACTGTAATATTCTACCAAACCAGCTGAGTGGTATGTGCTGTGGATAAGTGTACCAGTGCAAGTGAATCAGTGTACTCATTCGCATTCATTTAGTGACTTCATGGTGATCAGAGGTGACCAACTCATACTCAAGTAAAAGTAGCCTACAAGTCATTTTCACAAAATAATCTCACCTCAGCCATTAGGACAGTTAGCCAAAGTTAAGACTGCACACTGAAACTATGCTAGCTACAAAAACTGAAGCTAGCAAGGATTAAACACTTAATTTCCTGTATTCCTGCACCAATTTATGGTGGAAATGTCTTTATTTATATTGAGGGAAACACAAAATTCAGGTGGCAGGTGACAAGTCAGAATATAAAAATATAACAGAATATAATGCAATAATCAGAAGCTTATTATTTTTTTAGCTTCAGTAACTTTTTTTGGACAACACAGATGTTTCTTCTATTTTTACATTGCATTGCAGGTTTTCTTATTGTGGTAATAAACCTTTGTGACGGGAATTTCATGATTCCATCTTTAAGATACTGCCATGTAACTAATCTCACCTGCCTCTTGGGTATGGGGTCAATGGAAGGTAAATGTGAGTGATGCTTCCAGAGGGGTCAGGACTTTAAGTTGTTCACCACATGTGCTTTGGACAGGAGTGTCCTCCTATAGTTCCAAATTGAGTGTCCCCTAGGGAACACTGAGAGACACCATGTTCCTTTGATGAGATAGTACTCCGACCCTGAGACTAAGATAAAACCTGCATGAGCTGTTACATGGGAGCTCACTCGGGTGATACTCTCTGATGTGTATGTGTCCCCGTGAGTTCCTTCTGTAGAAGAATTGAATAAAATTCACAGAAAGACAAGTGTTTGCCTGAGCTGTTTATTTAAACACGCAATTCCCACCACAATTTTGGCGTTGTCGGCTCGTCACACGCGTGAGAGGACTCGGACACTCGGAGCTGCAGGTGAAAAACCGTACGGCCAGAGTTTGACACTCTGAGACTTCAAACCTCCCCTCCAAAATACGGGTGAGACGTTGAGGGCCTGACGCCTGAGTGTCTGAGGCTCCCTCACCGCTGTGATCCACAAAGAACCTGGTGGCTGGCAACACTCTCTTTTTGGTGAGTAGACTGTTCAAGTGGAACGATTCTCGCTACCTCTCAGGGTGAACGTGACAGACGTGTCAGCAGGGCAGGCCTGGGGCCTGCACCTTTCTCAAAGCATTTTCATTTGTTAATTTACATTTCTTACATTTTTAACAAATGCTTTCAAAAAGCAGTGGGGACATGTCCCCAGTGTCCCCAGAGTAATTGACACCCATGACCCTACCTCCCTGCTTATTCCCTACAGGTTGAGCTATGCCAAATCGTCTGGTTCCACTGACTTAAGGGTCTGTTTTACGTTACCAGTTATACTTCTACTGCACATGCGTTACCACTACCACATATGCGCAGTAGAAGTATAACTGGTTGGGAAAAATGCTTTTTTAAACCTTATTTTGGGGCAAAGTCGTCAAACTTTTTCAGCGATTTTTATTAGATTTTACTGCTGATTCTATTCATGTTGTTTTTATGTCCCGGTGACCAGCTGCACCTGCAGTTCTGGCTCTGTCCCCATTCATTCAAATAGGAACCTGGTCTTGTTAGTCCGAAATAGCTGCCCGGAGGCGTTGCCAAGATGGTGGCCCGAGTGACTTGCCTATGAGGACTTTGTCCTTGCCGCTGTTTGCTTCGTAACGTTCAATTTAGATTTATTGGTTTTACCGATCCACAGTACACAGGTACACTGTAACTAACGTGACCCACATAATATACAACAATGCAACATAACGCACAGGACAACAACACAATGGAAGAACTAATGTTATTCTACCACTATAGGAAAGTTACTT